ACCGCGCTCGCGACATCGAAGTCCCCCCCCGAGAGGCCCTCGAGCTTTACGATCGTGCCTCGCGGGACGAGCGGGCACTCCAGGAGCGCATCCAGCAGCGCCGTGTTAATGCAGGTGATCTTTTTGGCCGAACCTCCGGCGTTTGGAGACGCATTCCAATTGAAATATTGTTTTCCTCTCGCTGTGTAATTCTTCTTGTACCAGATCTCGTAGACCGTCTTCGGCTGCTCGGACGCGGCCTCGCCGTCGCGGCCGCGCTTCGGGCGCACATTGAGAACTTTTTTGACCGATACGACGCGGCAGCCCGGGCCGCCGTAAAGCTGCCCGTTCGCCGGCTCTTCGTCCAGGATCTCAAATCCGCCGTCGACCGGTCGTTTGCCGAATTTGGTCGCCTTGCAGCAGTGCCAGAGGCCGATCTCCACCTGGGCAGGACAAGAGAGATTCAATTGACGTCGCTTCAACGTGAGTGTTCCGCGCGCGCGCGTCACGAGAAAAACATCCACGCTTCGAGACCGTTCCGAGAGATGATCGCTCGTCCAAAAATCAGCCGAAACGAGTGGAAAACGGCCGAGAAAGGAGCCTTTGAAGTTGGGAATTTCGCTCTCTTGTCCTGCCCTGATCTCCACCGCCCAGGACAACATCGCCGCCGCGACGATGTAGATGATGGCTAGCCCTCCGTCGATGTTCGCGATCGCCAGCGCGTCGCACTCCTTCTCCCGCTCCTTGATCCCGCTGTTCAATATCGACGACGCATTCTTCCCGAACTGCACCTTGGTCTCGACCTTGAGCACCATGGTGCGCATCGACATGGGCCCGCGCGTCGCCGCGACGGCGCGGGCGGCGAAGTCGTCCTTGATCTTTTCCTGGAGGACCTCCATCTGCGTCTCGTCGAAGAAGTTCCGCCCGACGGCAGAGCAGAGCGCGAACCGCACGTCCCCGCCGGCGACGCCGCGGCCCGCGTTGGCCTCGTGCGTGGCCGCGAGCAGATGCTGGTACCAGCTGCTGCGCGTCGATGCCTCGCGCATCCAAGTCTTCGCCGCGCCCACGGCCTTGAGCAGCACGGCGGTCTCCATCTCGCAGATGCCGCCGAAGACGACGCCGGGCGCCTCGTAGCCGTCCTCGGCGGCCTCCTTGACGATCTCGTCCGGCGCCGTCACGCCGAGCGCCTCGTCGATGACGGGCATGTAGGCGAGCGGGCCGACGTTGAGCGCCGACAGGATGATGAACTTGACCTTCGCCTTCCGCGCGCGCCGCACCCAGTCGCCCCACAGGTAGATGCACACGAAGATGTAGAACACGTACCACACATCATTGATGAGTATGAAGACGATCACAATGATGTAGTAGTCGGACATGCCGACGTGCCTGCGAGAAAGCAGAATCGAACCCGAGCCCCGGCGTCTCTCTTCTTAACGAAAAAAGCGAGCGAGCCCGCGAGCGTCGGCGAGCCCGCGACCGTCGGCGAGTCGCAGCACCGCGGCGCCCTCGTCGGCGGCCGTGGCCGTCGTCTTCGGCGACGTCGCCGGCGTGAGCTCCGGCGTGAGCTCCGGCGTGAGCTCCGGCGTGAGCTTCGCCGAGTGCGACGGCGCGAGCGACGGCGCGAGCGACGGCGCGATCGACGGCGCGTACGCCGACGAGACCGCCGTCGCGGCGCGCGTCGCGGCGGTGCCCTCGTCGGCGTTCGTGGCCGTCGTCTTCGGCGACGTCGCCGGCGTGAGCGCGACTACGCCGAAGAAGACGGCGACGGCCGCCGACGGCGACGGTCGCCGACTTCAGCCGAAGCCGAGCGAAAAGGCGACTCTCAAAGCCTCGCTCAAAGAGTCGGGTCGGTTCGCCCGGGCCGAGGAGCGGTGGTGGGAGCGACGCGAGCGTTGGCGGGGCGTGGGGCGGGGGCGAATTTTTGGACGCCGGTCCGCACGGTGTCGTCGGGGCGTGCGC